TTCTCCTCCTCCTCCTCCTCCTCCTCCTCCTCCTCCTCCTTTTTGTTCTTCTTCTTAAAGAAGACACTTTAACATTTCATGTAATATTAGTTTGGTGGTGATGAACTCCTTTAACTTTTTCTTGTCTCTGAAGCTCTTTATCTTACCTTCAATTCTAAATGATAGCTTTGCTGGGTAGAGTAATCTTGGTTGTAGGTTTTTGCTTTTCATCACTTTGAATATATATTGCCACTCTCTTCTTCCCTGCAAAGTTTCTGTTGAGAAATCAGTTATCTTGTAGGTAACTAACTACCAGTATTAATATGGCTTCTTCTTTAATTCTCTAGTTGTAGGGCTTCCATTCAGCCAGATTTCAGATGGTTCTGAATGATGGTTGTCCTGTGGCTTAGTTGTAATTTTTATTGTGGGAGAATGTGAGTACCTCATTTACCTACACAGCCATCTTGCCACCCCGCTATGATCTTATCTTAAGCCCAGAGCTGTTTTAATGACATTATTCTAGAATGTTTTCTTTCCATATGATGATGGAGAAGCTAATAAGAAAAAATGGTGCCAGGTACCACAACAGTAATAGAACTTTGCTATTTTCTGGGGATTTGTTTTTTACCTTTTATTTTTAATGCAGTGTGCTGGATGTCTCTATAATTTTGTTCAGATGACTATAGAACGTGGGAAAGCTGTTGCTTTTTCATACATAACATACTGCTATTGGTCTTTATATATAATTTAAATTTTTGGAAACTTTATTTATGCTGTCAACTTTGGAAAAACTATCCCAATTGTACCATGTTGGGTTATCATTATACAGAAACTAGCAGCCACATTGGTCTAGAAACATTCAACATAATTTTTTCCCATTTGTACAGGGGTAATGCACTGTACTAAATATGTAAGGTCTTAATCTACATGGATTTGATTACAGAAACTAATGAAGTATTCTCTAAATCATGAAAAAAAAGCAGGACAACAGTTTAAAAAAAAGTGGAGAATCAAAAGCATGATGGGTTTAGTGCAGGGGTGGGCAAACTTTTTGACTCGAGGGCCACAATGGGTTCTTAAACTGGACTGGAGGGCCGGAACAAAAGCATGGATGGAGTGTTTGTGTGAACTAATATAAATTCAAAGTAAACATCATTACATAAAAGGGTACGGTCTTTTTTTTTTTTTTAGTTTTATTCATTTCAAACGGGCCGGATCCGGCCCGAGGGCCATAGTTTGCCCACAGCTGGTTTAGTGTCTCTTGACCACCGACCCACTTATCAATATCTCCCAGGACAAATGACTATGGGAGCCTAGAAAAGTTTGAATTTTCCCATAAAGAAAACATTCAGTTTTCCACATCAAAACAACTAAAAGTTTTGAAGCAGAGTATATAGTAAAAATGATTAGAAGTATAGTGGGTTTTATATTTAAATGATGCACTTAACTGGTAGTCTTTTTTAAGAGCCTGTTGTCAAGTGTACTTATATATTGTTCCGCCTCATTCAAATCAATAAGTACTTTGAGTTGTTAATCCTTCTTATTGGCAAGTTCAGTCCTAACGGGAATCATTCATTATTATAGTAGACATTTGTCACTCTCCTAAGACTTCCTATATATGGGAAGTCCCACATCTTATGACTCTTGATAAGAGATAAGCTGGATTCCCTTTAGAGAAGTATATTGTCTTATCCTCCTCCAGACATTATTCTAGCTGTTGGGAAATAGTAGAAACCTTTGGTAAAATATACATTTGCCAGAAAATAGGATATAATAATATCACAAAATGTAGAGTCTAATTTTAATTTCTCTTAAAGATGTTTCCAATATCAAGGGTCCATTTTGTAAAGTATATGATTGTTTCACCACTGTGCTATACACATGAAACTAATACAAGGTAATATTGAATGAAAACAGTAATTTAAAAAAATTAAAGATCTTTTCAGGATAACATAGGCTCCCCCAAGCAAAGTGAATCATAAGGTACAATAATTTGTATCCACTACAAAAGGGCATAATACATGAACCATTTAACTTTAGAAGAGAAAATATAACCATTTTTGAATATCCTATCTGAGATATATTAAAGGTAACTCCCCAGAGGAAAAAAAGTGTCAGCTGATCAGGCTCTACTGGAACTACCTCCACTAATTTGCTCTTATACCTAGGAAATCCAATGGTTAAATTGGTTGCCAGCCCCAGTAGGAGAATCACAGCTATTAGCTTTTCCTCAAGTGTCTATGTTTGTTTTGAATAATAGGCCCTTGTCTCTGGTACCTATTTACCATGGGACCTATAACTTCACATTATGAATTTGATATATTTACCCACTTGTCTACAAAGTCAGCTGTGTCCCAAAACGCTGCATCATCAAATGGAAATGGATTGTTAGAACTGGACCTGATTAGGTTCTGAAGACTCAAGTGAATTTGGAGCCACATTACTACCCCTTCATCTATTCTTGTCTAAGGTATCATGGAGAGCCACCTATGATCAATTGACTGAAAAGAGGAAAAGATTTCCTGGATTTCAGATGGCCCTGCACAAAATACAAGCACAGTCAAAATTTAGCTTTCCATCCTTGAAACTCTGGTACGGTTGATTTGATTATCTCAGTAACCAAGGCAGGAATGCTTATATCAGAAAAAACAACAATGGAATCTTTAGTTGGCAAATTTGTACCACCTGCCCAACTCGGACTCTTCACACTGCCATGAAGTGAACAAGCAATAAGGGGATTATGGTGTTGACTTTTGAGATTGATTCTGACTATGAAGAGGAATTAGAATCTCTGCTACACAATTAGGAAAGTAAGAAATATTGATGGCACTCAAAATATGTCCTGGGATGCTTCCTGGTATGACTTGTTTATTGGTAAAATTCATTGGGAGACCACAGAATCTGTGTAGGAAAGACAACCAAAGGTTTAGATTCCTCAAGAATGAAGGTTTGGGACACTACACCAGATAAAGAACCTTCAACATTTGAGGTGTTGGTGAAATTTCTTTTAAAGATACATGAAATGAGCAATAGAAGAGGAAAGTCATAACTACCAACTTCAACCTCATAATCAGTTAGAAAAAGAGGACTGTAACAGCTTCTTGTGTTTTCTTTATTTCTTGTGTTTATATATTTATCTCTTCTTCCCCACTCTTTCCTCCCCTCTATTTTGTATAGGGTATGTTGGTGCTGAGTAACTTTTCAATTTGGCCCATAGTATTATAATGGATTGTAAAACAACCAGGAAAAAAACAAATTTGTCAAAAGCAGAAATAAATGAGACTTTGTGTTATTCCCCTTTTGGGGAGGAGATGAATGCATTTTTGATACATGAAGGTTAGCCGCATTAAGTTAAAGGGAGAATTTTTGTAACTATTGGAAGGAGAATTTAAGTTGGCGTTACATGTGTCAACGTGAATTTCAGTGGGGACATCTGGCACCCTTTTTCACTTCTCAGTATCTAAACCTGCTTCTCAATGAGAGACCCAACCTGTCTCCTAGTGGAGAAAGTAAAATTGCTAAGTTCTTGTTCTTTCCTTTCTCCCTGGGAGGACATGTGCCTGTGACAAAGGCTCTATCAGTCATCCCCAAACTCAGGAGGCAGTGTCAGAAAGAAGCAGAGACCAAGAATCCTCCATGGCAATCCTGGCAGTTAAAACAGGAAGAGTTCCTGGTGGCGGCTGAGCCAGAGAAACCAGCAAGTGTTGCTAGTGTGTGGATCAGAATTAAAGGTTTTGAGGTGGAGAGTGTCTATGGTGTTATTTGGATGTTTTCCATTGAGACTTCATATTTTGTTTGGATCTTCAGAGTTGTTGTTTTGTTTTTTGTGTTGTTATGGGGTTTTTTTGCAGGCTCTACTTTTATTTTTTTAAATAAACTTGCTATTGTTGATAATATTGCAGATATATCCTCTTTCCCACCATTTACCCCCATCCTCCCAGCCCCTACCCACCCTCCCATGTCTTCACACCCTATTGCCTGTGTCCATGGACTATGCCTATAAGTATGTAAGTTCTTTGTGGTTTATCTCTTCTAGTCCCCCAACCCCCACATTGAGGTATGCCAGTCTGTTCCATGCTTCCAAGCTTCAGGTCTTATTTTGTTGGTCAATTCATTGTGAGTTTTTAACTTTTTATTTTGAAGTAATTTTATATCGAATCCTTTTTTACTAAATCTTTTTTTTTGTTTAAATCAGCAAGAAAAATTTTATTTTAAATCAACAAGAAAAAGCAGAAATTTTATGCTTACAATTAAGAGTCTTGACTGTACAGCTATATAGTTTATTACAGGTTGGTAATTATGAATAACTATACATAATAAAATATCTAAAGTTTGGTGGTGGGTTCAAGTGAATTGTATTTATACCACAGAATGCTAGTCATCATTTTTAAATGATGTTATATTTTAAAATTTAACAACATACAAAAGTGTTTATGATGGAGTGGCAAACCATGTTGCAAGCTGAGTGCTGGGTCACAAATTTGTTTTTATATATTCTTTAAAACATATTATCATCTATTTTTATCTATCTACTTATCTATCTGTCTTATCATCTATCTTTCTATCCATAAATCTAGATATCTATGATCTATCTATTCCTGTTATTTATCCATTATTGTATAACAAATTACCCCCAAACTGCTCTAGCTGTTTTTTGTTTTTAAAAAAATATATTTTATTGATTTTTTACAGAGAGGGAGAGGGATAGAGAGTTAGAAACATCGATGAGAGAGAAACATCGATCAGCTGCCTCCTGCACACCCCTTACTGGGTATGTGCCCGCAACCAAGGTACATACCCCTGACCAGAATCGAACCCGGGACCCTTCAGTCCACAGGCTGACGTTCTATCCACTGATCTAAACCGGTTAGGGCTGCTCTAGCTGGTTTTGATCAGTGGTTAGAGCATCAGCCCATGGACTGAAGGATCTTGGGTTCAATTCCGGTCAAGGGCATGTACCTCAGTTATAGGCTCAATCCCTGGCCCCAGTCGGGGTGCATGCGAGAGGCAACCAATTGATGTGTCTCTCTCACATCAAAGTTTCTCTCTGTCTGTCTCTCCCCCTCCCTTCACACTCTCTTATCCACTGATCTAAACCGGTTAGGGCTGCTCTAGCTGGTTTTGATCAGTGGTTAGAGCATCAGCCCATGGACTGAAGGATCTTGGGTTCAATTCCGGTCAAGGGCATGTACCTCAGTTATAGGCTCAATCCCTGGCCCCAGTCGGGGTGCATGCGAGAGGCAACCAATTGATGTGTCTCTCTCACATCAAAGTTTCTCTCTGTCTGTCTCTCCCCCTCCCTTCCACACTCTCTAAAAATCAATGGAAAATATATCCTTAGGTGAGGATTAACAAAAAAATAAATAAATAATTTACACCAAAACTAAGCAATTTAAAACAACTATCATCTTTATTCTCTCCCAGTTTCTTTGAGTCAGGAATCTGGGAGTAGCTTAGCTGGGTGGTTCTAGTTAGGTGTCTCTCATGAGGTTGCAGTCAAGCTATTGGCCAGGGCCTCAGTCTCTAAAGACTCGAGTGGGATCGAAGGATCCTCTTCTAAGCTCAGGAGAAGCTTTATTTCCTGACCTTATGGACCTGTCCATAGGACTGTTCACAACCTTCCTTCCTCCCGAGAGAGTGGAGAGAGAGGCAGGGAGGGAGAGAAAAAGAGAGCATGCACACTTAAGGTAGATGTGTAATCTTTTAAATCTAATATTAGGAGTGACCGAGTAACACTAGAAGCAAGTCACCAAGTCCAGCCCACATTCAAGGGGAGGGTAGTTAAGCTCCACCTCTTGAATGGAGGTTCTGTAGACACATCTTTAAAACCACCATGTACACATAACATATACAGATACAAGTATTTAAATATATATAAAATATTTCATAATAAATGCATCAAATTGCATGGTATATAAAATATCATTTATATTATAAAATTTATGCCATAATTATTCATGTGTGTGTGTGTAACCAAATACTGCCTATGTCAATTCTCCTCCTAACAACTTCTAATGAATTAAAACAGGGCTGAAGCACCCCCTGGGAATAGATTTATTGTGTCTACAATTGAGTTGCACACATATACAGACATAATTCTCAGACTCTGGGAGGTGTAGGAATAAATAGCACACGAAGGCCAGATTTCAGGGATGAACTATTGGGTTCCTAAAAAGGATCCTAAGGAGAAAAGGAATTCAGTAAAACAAACAGGATTGAGGTCCCAGGTGATGGGAGAAAAAAGTAGGTTGGATACTAGAGCATAGCAGCTGGCACTGAACCCACCCACCATGTTCTCTGGAGCAATGTGTCCTCCCAGGTCCCCTCATCTCAATATGCCTTCTACCAATATATGAATGAGCAGCAAAAGTGAAGTTGATTTGCATTCTAATGTGAGGAGTGACCATAATGAAGAGGGTGGGGACAGGAGAAAGCTTCACGGAAGACAGGGTGGTCTAGAGCTAGTACAAATTTTGTTTTTATACTATTTACCTCATTTCTATCTAAAGTCTGTTTGAAAAATTCAGAGTGGATAGGTAACAAAAAGTTAATATTATTGTGACTTTATTTTTACTAATTGATATCTTCTAAATTTTTGTAATTAATATATATTTTATATTAATAAATCCAGTTTTTCAATACTTCTTCAAATATTAAAAAGATTAAAATATAATAGAAAGTGAAACTAGTATATAAAACTATATATAGTAGGAACCCCATTCATTGTTAAATGCAGATGTATTTTAAGACAAAGTATTAATGAAATTAAATACACATATATATAATAGGCATAACTATTTTCTTGTATCTATATCTATCTGTATCTATTTAGGAAGATAAAACCTAGAAGGAAACAAAGTAAAATGTAGGTAGATGTTTTTCTGTGAGATTTCAAATTAGGTTTTTTATCTCCTTTGTACTTTTCTGTATTTGCCAAATTTCTATAATGAGTACTTATTACTTTTATAATCAAATGAAACCCCATTATTTTAAATAGTTTAAAAGAGATATGTTATGATTCTTTCATGAATTAAATAACATGTAACTATTAATATTTCATTTCCAAAGAAATTTAATGACCTGATTAAATGCTTATGATATAAGTACAAAGAGTTAAAAAGTACTGCATAAGCAATGTGAAATCAAACACACATATATATATAAATATACAGGAATTTGAATAGGACCCTTCCTGTTGTCTTAGACCTTCAAATTTTGGCTGAAGCCCCAAAGCTGAGAACAATGAGTTATAAATAACAGTACATTCTAAAGAGAGATGCTGGACCTATCCAGGGAGGATTTAGTGAAGAGAGCAGAGCTGGTCCAACAACTTTCAACCCCCACCATGGCTTCTAACCTACTTAAGAGAAGTCTAAAGTTCAAAAGTTGATTAAAGAGCACCTTTAATAGAGAAGAGTGATCAAACTCACAGGGAGTAAAGTGGTATTTTCCGCTTCCCTATTCCTTCCTTTCCAAGCCCTCCCTCAAATGCTCCAAAAGAAACACCCATATTAAGGATAGGATATCTATAAGATAGAGATGCAGTCACTCATGTGTCCCAACCCTGTAGAATGGCAGTCCTCACTGCTGCATAGGACTGAAATGCAGTGAGAGTTCTTAGCAGAGACTGATGGGTGTGTCTTGGGATCTGGGGAGACTAGAGCCTGTTTTTCAATCTCAAAGCAGGCAGGATGGTCACTGAGTTGAGTTTGCAAGATAAGGACACAGGACAGTTATAAAGAGCAGTTAGTAATTCAACCATTTTGCAAGGCAAGGATGCAAACGTCTCCTGAGGGCTAAGTGGTGTGATGGATGTGACCCACTCAAGAGGGACAGTAGGAGGCAGTGAGGTGTTCTGGTCAGGAGCTTTTGGTTCAATTAAAAAGGACATCTTAAGAAGTCACAGAGATGTCTGCATGAGGAAACATTGCAGAGAAGACGTTAAAGTGTGTGTGTGTGTGTGTGTGTAGAGGAATAGATATATGGTTGATAATGAATGCATAGAGACTGATAAAGCTATATTGGTGTTGACACACAGATATCCACACCCTCAAAAAAAATAATTATAAAGCAACATATCAAAAGTTAAACAATGGTTATCTAAAGAGATGAAATTGATATAATTTCTTTATCTTTTTTCCCCTGTATTTTGCATTAATACTATGTATTAGGTACAGGGAGTTACCTAAAAAATTTCGAGGAGACATTTTACTGTTCTACTAAAGCCCGCTAGACAGAAATCTTCATAATGATAGGGATCATTATTATCTTATTCACCATTGTTTTCCTAGAACAGTATCTGGTACAAAATAGGTTTTTGATAAATACATACTGAATTCATTAATGAATTATGTAATTAAGTTCAAACACCTACTTTAAAATTAAAATGGAAGAAGTGCTTTTCTCCCATGCTACCAGTAACATCTTTCTGTGCCCATTAATGAAAAGCAAAGATTGTCAAAAAAGGATGCCAAATATTATCTGAACCTAAGTGGTATAGTGAACACAGGCCACGGATATTTTTTAACACTTTTTAACAATCAAACTACCTATATAGAAGCACTGATAATTATTTAAACAGACATCATTCTTAATAAGAAAAATAATTTTTGCAAAGATAGTTTTTGCATTATAATATTTGTATCTCAATTTATTTAATTTTCTGATTTTATTCTGATATTGATTGATTTGGCTTTTCAAATTGTATTTCACCCAGTTCCAGAAATGGAGCTTTCTAACCGCATTCTATCCCAAAATTTTACTTTTACTGTTCTTATGTTGATCAATATATTTAATTACCATACTCCTTACCTCCCCTCATGTTTCCATCCATAGAGACTCTCTCGTTGATCTGTGGCTCCTGAGAAGGCTTTCTCTTTCAGAGAAAGGAAGTAGCGAATGTAGTAGAAAGAGCTGTGGACTGAGAGCCAGGAAGTTACCCTTGATGTGCCAGAAATTAAACATTAATAAATTTACCCAGACATACATTTCTTTTTGCTAAGCTTATGGTTTCCCCCATTTCATTGACATCCTTCCATGGTGGACCTCCTTCTACCTTAGGATTTTATAGTAGAAGTTGGTGCTGCCTTTCTGGCTGCAGTTTCCACAAATGCTGACATTTCAACAGTGGGCTGAATATTTAGATCTTCCTGAATCAACAGCCTTTTCACTTGTGGTCTCAGTCTGCATTCCACATACTAATCTGTTCCCTGACATGTTATAGACCCACCACAAACTGGAAGAGCTATTAATTGAGTCAGAAAAGGGAATATCAGTTCAGGTTTCATAAATGGAATCAATATAAAGTTGCTAGTGAAAATATAATTGGTACACGTTTCATCAGTTTGTTTTCTCCATAAAATAAGAAATGTTTTGCCTTTCTTGAACATCATATGACCTAAAACATTTCCTGTTAGAGAATACCACATTATCTTTTTGTAAAGTTCTTTACCTCTTTTTTAGTGTAAATTATAAAGGTCTTAATAGTTTCACTGGGCATTATTGCCTACATTAAATTTGCATTTTTTTTTCCTCAGGTCAAACTTTGACTTTATGGGACATTAATGGTGTCAAAAAATGAGAGTTATCATTCTTAATCATGTGCCAAATATCTCCTTCCACCAAATAGTAAAAATGTGATAGGAATTTCATATGCCAACAAATAAGTTGCAGGATTTCTTGTGCAGGGCTCATTGAAGTTTCTCATTGCTAACCCAATAAAAACATCACAAATAATAAATTAAGGGTATTTGTTCTTTTAGGAGGATTTTTTACAGCTAGCAGGATATGAAACATTCTCAAAATAGCTCCTGTACTAATCTTCATCACTTATTTTTTTCTTTAATTTTTAAGTTCTTTGAAATTATCTCAAAAGAAATAAATAAAAAGGTACTATCTTACCCCAATCTTCACTAACTTTGAATGGTATTTATATCTAAACAAATTAGAATCAGTATATCTCAGTAAAACCACTGTTTGCATATTGTACATACACATGTAACAATAGCTAAAATTTTATGCTGCTTTTACTCCTGAAAAAATTATTTCACATGTATACTTAATTTCTAATGATCAGTCAGACTTTTCTTAAAATGGCTACACGGACTGCTGTATGATTTGCAAATAGATATAACAAGATGCAGGAACAGCTGAAAACAAGAAAGAATTTGTAGAAGGAAATAACTCTAAACTAGAAAGAAAGAATTAAAACTTTCTAATGTACAAAACAAACAGACTAAGGTTTTAGATATTTGAATAATTAGCTTTAAATTACAACATGCCTGTTAAAAGTGACCCAGCAGATCTGAAAAAGAATTAGATGTTCTAGAAATTAAAAAACAAACAAAAAAACACACACTCATTTATTTAAGTTATAGAATACAAGTGATGTGTTTGTGAGCAGATTGAACACATCTGGTGAGAAAATGAAGAACTGGAAGATGGGTCAGAAGAAAATATCTACAATGCAATATGAAGAAATAGAGAAATAGGGGAAAAGCAAAAGGAAAGTCAAGAGAGATTGAGGATAGAGTTAGCATGTCTAACATATTTTCTATTAAAGCCCCAGAAAAATAGGAGAGAAAGAAAATGAAGTAATGACAGTATTTGGGAAGATAATGGCTGAAAAGATTCCTGAAATAATTAGAGACATCAATCCACAGATTTAAGAAGTCTAATACATCCCTATCAGAAGAAATACTGATTATAATAAAGCAGTGAAACACCAAAGACAAAGAGATGGTGTTTAAAAAGCCAGAGAAAAAAAGAGAGATTTCTTGCCTGGCCCATGTGGCTCAGTTAATGAGTGTCATCCTATGCACCGGAAGTCGCCGGTTCGATTCCCATGCAGGGCACATGCCCGAGTTGCCTCCTCAATCCCCAGTAGGAGGCATGCAGGAGGCAACTGATCAATGTTTCTTAATCATCAATGTTTCTGTCTCTCTCCTTCTCCTTTCCACTCTCTAAAATCAATAAAAACATTTTTAAGAGAGATTTCTTTCAATGGAGCAACAGACTTACATTTGATTTCACAACATTTTTAAATAAACTAAAAGACAGTGTAATGATACTTTCAATTGGCTGAAAACAAGTGACTGTCAATCTAGAATTCTATATTCAGAGAAAATATATTTTTAAAGGGAGGAATAATGGCATTTTTTTATATAAACATAAGCTGTCAATGTTTGCCACTAGCAGATCCTCACTAGTAAAATTTTAGAGGATATTTTTCAGGCAGAAGGAAAGTGATCCCAAATGGAAAGTCCAAGATAAGAAAATGAATAAACTACAAAGAAATTAGTGTTTGAGTAAATTTAAATAAACTTTGACTATATAAGACCAATAATTGTAATAATGTATTTTGCAGCATAAAAATATAATTAAATATCTAGCAAAATAACATAAATTAAAAGGAGAGCAAATGGAATGAAAGATTTTTAAGATTTGCATTGTCTAGGAGATGGTAAAGCTATTGTTTGACGTTAGACTTGGATGTAATTTCTAGAGAAAACACTAAAAGAAAAGAAACATAATATACAACTTCCAAATTAGTAGAGGGAATACTAGAATTTTAAAATACCCTAAAATTTAAAGAATGAAGAGGAAAGAACAATTTTCAATGTTAGTAATTCCATTAAATCTAAATGTACTACATGTTCCAGTTAAAGGTCAAAACAGTTTTACATTTTAAAAATTTCAATGAAAGCATAAGTAAAGATACATCATAAAACACCAAAACAAAGTTGGTTATCTCTCCTTTCCTCCTAAGATCTCTGACTTTTAAAAAGTGAACATATGCTATACAAATAAAAAAGTAGAAATATGTGGAAGATTTTAATAAAATGAACAAAAAATTGGAGGATTTCTCCTTCTGACCCAGTACTATCTGTGTTGTTTCAAATTTTAAAATCAGCATATTTTATTCTTAAAATTTCATATTTGTTTAATTAAAAGAGCTGCCATTTCCCTGGCCAGTTTGGCTCAGTAGATAGAGCGTCAGCCTGCAGACTGAAGGGTCCTGGGTTCAATTCTGATCAAGGGCACGTTACCTTGGTTGCAGTCTTGATCCCCAGCCCTGGTCCAGCGCATATGCGAGGGAACTAATCGATGTTTCTCTCTCTGTCTTTCCCCCTCCCTTCCACTCTCTAACAATCAATGGAAAAAATATCCTTGGGTGAGGATTAACAAAAACAAACAAATAACAAAAAAAGAGTTGTCAGCAACTACTCTAGAACATAGTTGCTGACAACTCTTTTTGTTCCAGCAAACTTTTAGCTCCTCCCTGTATTGAGCACATCAGAAATGTTTTCATTCACACTTTACAAGTTCAGGAGCAGGCGCTAAGACCCTCCATGCCAAATATAAAGGCTAGCCAGCACCAGCAGTGATGGCAGTGGCAAAGCTTGAGGGGCGTAAGAATAGGAGAACAACTCAGGTCTGTGGAGTTTAGATGGGACTTACTTAAGTAAGACCTAAAACCAGGCAAATCTCATCAATACTTGTCAACATCCCTGGAAATTTCTGGAATTTTTGAGAAAAGAAACTCAAGGGAAAGGAACTTCTGGTTTAAGTGAATGCATATTAGGATTTATCAAGATTTGGCTAAATATGTAAATGAGTTGACATCTGTGCTCACCAGCTGGTAGTGCCATCACCAACTTCCCTAGAATGTATTTGGAGATATCCCAAATTACAAAATTTAAAACTATGGAATGAAAATGAAGCTCAGTCTGCTTGAGCAATTAAGGTGAAATATACTTGCAATTGGGATAAAATGCTTGCAATTGTAAATTAATGCATATTAAGTGTGATTTTTATTATTTTTTTCTTAAGGCATATTCTCCTTATATCCTTTCACCTCCAAGCTTGAGCAAAGATGCTGATGTCTGAAAAGCCAAAGCACAGTTTAGGACTATGGAGTCAGAGTGAGGAGCAGGAACTCCAGTAGAGGGGCAAAAAGTGACATGGGACATTTAGGATAATATATATACTTTCAAGTGCTTACAACACATGGCAAAGCGTGGCTGGAAAGAAATAGAGCTAAGAACATGGAAATAATAGCCTAGTGCAGTTTACAAACTGGACTTTGCTAAGCCATTTGGCTGTTGTAAGAGAACCACTGTAGCAAATGAGAGTGGTCCCCACCCTCATTTCAACCAGAGAGATAGTCTGTCTACATGGGATTTCATTTAACAAAACTTGCACTGTTGTTTAAAGTGATTATTTTAAACTTTCAAAACATCTGTAACATGTACATAGGATAGATAATTTTTAAATTGCCCCAACAACCGTGGAACCTTAATAAAATTGCACTGAACCCTCAACATCACTATTTTTTTAATACCCTAGAAAATGTAATCCCCCATAACCTTGATCTCAAAAAAGGTTGAGTCTCTTACTATGTGCTAGAGCCCTGACAAGTACTTTACATGCATAATTGCAGCCAGTACTCACAATAGCTGTGGATATCAATACCATTTTTATACTCACTTTATAAATAAGAAATTTAGGGTTAGAGTGTTTTCAAAATTATCTAAAGTAAAAAAATAAAAAAGTAATTGTCAGTGTCAGAAACAGTCAAGTCTCTGCCCTTTCAAAGCCCACGTTTTTAACAAAGTCACCATACTTAAAAGCTGTTAATAGTTGGTTAATCACATTTAAAGCTTCTAGGCTACATAATTCTATAATCCATTCTGTAATTTTTACCAGATCATGAACATTAATCTCACAGAAAGAATACCAATATTCTGGTCAAAGGCACATACCTCAGTTGCAGGCTCCTCCCCAGCCCAGGCCTCCTTAGTCAGGGCTCATGCAGGAGGCAGCCAATCAGTGGAAAAATATCCTCAGGTGAGGATTAAATATATATATATATATATATATATATACACACACACACACACAAACACACACACACATATA